CTATTCAGCCCCTTGGTCTTCCGTCCTGGTCACACTGGGGCTGCCTGGAGGTTTCTGTTCAGGGTACCATGGGCACTAGCACAGAGGTGGGGAACGGGGTAAGTCGTCCATTGTGATGGCCATCTTTGATAGCTGGGCTACTGAGCAAGACAGAGTGGGGCCATTGTTTTCCTCTGCCTTCTTTTATTCAAATGGAGAGACAAACAGAGGCTCGATGAGAACAGAGGCTGGGAGGGGAGGCTTACTCACTGCCACAGTGAGGTCTGTCAGCTTTGCAAACACGATCCATCACCCTTATATTCCGGCATGGATGCGCCTTTCAGAACAGAAGACAGAAGTTCAGAGAAGGTAGTATTTTGCCCAAGGTAACACAGCCCATGAAGGTGAAGATAAGATTTAAATCCGTAGGTTCATAGAGAACTTTATCATGGGGCTACTCCATGGCAAGATGTTAGTGAAGTGGGCTTCTCCAGACCTTTCAGGGGACGCGGCCAATTGTCCAAGCTCTAGAGTACATGGGAGACTTGGGGAAGGGAAAGAACATTTGTTGGGGAAGGTTCTAGGGCGACCATGCACAGCTATGACCATGCTAGCGTAGGCCTGGCAGTGGCCCCAGGATGCTGTCTGTGGACTGGAATTTGGGATCTGCTATTACTTTGCTCTGGGCAAATTCCTCGGCCAAGAGAGGCATCTGTCAAATGGGTCAGATCTGGACCTTGAAGGGACTGTGAAGATGAAGTGGGACTTTGGATGGGAAGCCCCCTGTACACAACCAGATGAGAGGACACTTCACTACTCTGTCATTAGATCTGTCTGTCTACCGTGCGTGTGCTGACAAGTACCTTTCGGATCTGTGTGGGCTGATGGGCAAACATGAGCGCTTTGTCTCCTGCTTGCAGGGCCGTGCGTTTTGAGCGTGTGTATTTTTGTATGTGGATTTCAGAAGTCCTTCTTCAGCCCCAGTTGGAGGCTGTTCTGAGCAGCTAGGGGGACATTCCAGGCAGCTCCTCACGTGTTACCAGCTCAGAGCACCCCCCAGTAGCCCCAGGGCCCTAGACCATCTGTGTCCCTTCCTTCCTTTGCTGGTGCCAACATGCTCAGTAGTGGTGGTGTTGGTGGGGTACAGGAAAGGGGAGAGGAAGGAGAAGGCCCGGCTAGATGCCGGAGGCTGTACAGCTCCTGGCTTGGTGCCGGCAGGGACTCTGAGTTCATTTGAGCACTAGGGGGCAATGTGTCTGTTTGAAAGAAACTTAGAAGCCAGCTCCAGAGGTGTGTGCACACACAGGCACACACAGGGGTGCCCACACCACAAAGGTTCACTCTATGGTGCAAGAGGCCCCAGGCAGAAGAGCAAGTTTTCATGCTAGTAGGACAACCAGGGCACCAGGGCAGGGATGAGGGCACCTAAAAGGCAGAGGCAACTGCACAGAGATACATAGTTACCCAGAGAGATACATAGTTACCCAGAGAGAGGTGCTGGCTGGCAGCAGACAACATCCATGTAAGTGCACACACACACACACACACACACACACACACACACCCCACAGTGGCCTCCAAAGATGCAAGCACCTGCCATGTATAGAAACACAGAGGTGCAGGCTAGCCTCCTGGGGCAAGGACAAATGTAAGCATAGTCTATTTATAAGGTTAAGGAAGTCACCCCACACAGCATCATCTTTCAAACACATACCCCAAAGTGCTGACTCTGGAAAGATCCCGGGAAACATATGCCTACCCCTTCTCCCTTCAGATGTGGGGACCCTCTATAAAAGAGTATGAAGTGACAACCCAAAACCTCAAACCTGTCCTCCCCAGACAGCAGGCCTTTTCCAGCTCCTGACATCCCTCTCTACTGCTCTAAACAAGTCCTCGGGGGGCCCCCCCCCCCCATTCCCTCCAGACACAACACACAAGGCAATCCATCTCGACCTCCTGAGAAGGCTACTGTCCCCAAGACAGTGGCACATGGCCAGATGCCACAGCTTTGCTACCTGGGATCTCCTCCTGACATCAATCACTGAACTCTACCACAGGAGGTTCAAGGGCCCCTAGCTCTGGGACTGGAGGGTCAGTTGGGGGTGTCTAATGGGGTGCTCTTTCCTTTGTGCCTACACAGGCAAAGCCTCTGTCTTCTCCCTGGCTTTCCTTCCCTGTCACTTTGCTAAGTAATAATTTCCATGTCCAATTCCATTTCTTTTCTAGTTCTGAAACCTCTAAGCTATCAGCAAGAGGATAGTTCGCATGAAAACTAATTACACAAAATCAATATTTAATCACAGACCAACAACCTGATCCTGCAGAAAAATCCTTTTAAAACTCCACCACCCTGCACAAATACTTCTTCCCAATGCTTATTTATGGGCCCCGTTTTTGGTGGGGGTAATTTTCATTTTTAATTTCAAAAGGAAAAGAAAAAAAAATCTGTAGACTGCAGGAAAAGCCCGAGCTTGTTGCAGCTTCCTGAGAGCTTTTATTTCGAGCGTGTGTGAGGGTGGGGGTGGGGTGTGTGGGGGTGGGGGTGAGCGTGTGGGGGATGGGTTTGTGTGGGGTGTGAGTGTGTGGGGGAGAGTGTATGTCGTGGGTGAGTGTGTGTGTGTGTGATTTCTTCAGAAGTCTCTTGGGGCTCCCTGACCCCCCTTCCTAAATCGAGCCCATTTTTCCAACGTTACTTTGCTCAGAAGCTCCGGGGAGTAATGAATCGGCCGCGAATGACACGGTAACTTTTAACTCATGCCCGCGACAGTAGAGTGTTTAATCTGAGGTTTTTAAATAAAAAAGGGCTCCGGGTTGGTTTTATTATAACGTTTATTTCATTTCAGATTTCATGCGTAATTTAGCAAACGCTAGACAGACTTGGGCGATAAACACTTTCTTTTGTGGGGGGAAAAGGCATTTTTATACACCATGCTTAATTTTATTTAGATTTAATAGCGATATCGGGGCACTTCAACGAAAGTTTTTTTTTTCTTTTCCCCTCTTCTTTTAAGAATCCTGGCCTGCCAGCAAAATTGTCTCGCTTTATTTCATGGCAAGGAAAATTAAAGGCCTTTCCGCCCCTCCTCCCCTACTTACACTTTGAGAGGAAAACTCGCACACGCATGCTGGCGCTTGGGTGCGCGCGCGTCCACAGAATAAACACCTCCACCTCCTATCACCTCCAACTTCTAACTTTTAATTGCAAGATAGATTTCAGCATCTACTCCGCAAGGAGTAGAAAGATCTAAGCATTTTAAGTAAGATTATTGGGATAAATATTCCATATGAAATAGGGCAGGTATTAAATCACTCTTATTGATTTTAGTATCACAATCCAATTCCGTTCTTTGACCTCTTCAGTTTAATTGATCTCTTAAGGAGGCCAACTTCGCGCCCTTCAGGGCCTGGGCCTGCGCGCTTGTGGCCGCAGCAAGGTGTCGCCCCCCCACCCCCCACCCCGTGCGCCCTTTGCGCGTCGCTCTCCTCCGGGTTTCGCATTGTCTCGCCTCGCCGCTCCCGCGCCGGGCTCACCCCAAGTGTCTCCACAAAGCGGCCGAGGGTGCGTGGCTTCTTCCCGGTGGAGCCGGCGGCAGAGAACCGGAAGCCGCGGACGGTGGGAGACTCGGGAAGGAGCGAGCCAGTCTCTAGTCCCGGAGACAACCTTACTTCGTGTTTCCCCACGCCGGTCACCTCGTGAACTTGCCAGGGCCAGCTCCCTAGGGCGCCGCCCTGGGCTGCAGCACAGGCGACACTTAGCGACTTTCCCTGGCGCGTCCCGGGGCTCTGCCAGGCTACCCCATTGTCTGAGCGCCCCGCACGGCTCACCGCCCACCTCCCCGCCCCCTGCCCACCCGGCAGGTCGCGCTGGCTCCGGTTGGGGGTGGGGAGTTGGGAACAGCGTGAATGTGAAGGGGGCGGACAAAGCCTGGCTCCCGCCGTCGTCCTCGGCTCGCGCCCTCCCCAGCCGGGGGGCACCCGGGGCGCACCCCCAACGCCGTAGCGCCGGACCCGGAGTAGCGCGGGTCGGTGGCCAGGCCTGCGCAGCCGGGACCCGGGACCACCTTAAGAGCGAGCCCCGCCCCCAGGCCCGCTCGGGCGGCGCTGATTGGTGCAGAGGTAATGGCTGGAATGGATTGCTGAAACGCAAAACTTGTTGCTGCTTCTCCCGGCGCCGGCGAGAGGTAGACGCGGAGCGGGAGCCCGGACCTCGCAGCGCCTTGCCCGCCCCGCGCGCCCTGCTCGCCCGCGCGGCCCCTTCCCGGGTCCGAGGGGACCCGCGGAGCGCGGAGGCGGGAACCACAGCTTCGGAGCCACCGGCTCCACGCCTCCCCTCCCGCGCGCGGCCCGAGACTCCCGCGAACTCGCGCGGCGACCGGCGATCGAGCCCGAGCCGCGGAGCCGCGCGTCTCCTGCAGCCTGCGTTCCCGCTCCAGCGCCCGCATCTCCTGCTGCGGAGCCAGCACCGGCGATGAGGAGCAGAGCAGCCCGTCTTCCGAGCCGCTGAAGCTTTCGCTGCGGATTGCCCGCGGCCGACCGGAGGTGCGGGAGCCGGTGCGGCCCGGGTGCTGGGACTCGGGGCAGGGGAAGGACCAAGGGGCTCCCCTCGGCCCCAGCCGCCGCGCCACGGACTCCAGAAGGTGATCATTTCGCTCTCCCGCCCCCTTCCCTCCCCCCTACCTAACTTTTTGTCTCAGCTCGTCGGCCTCCAGGTCTCCTCTCCGCATACCTACCCGCAGCCGTGCCATCCGCCCGGGGCATGGGCCCCCGGACAAGGCTCCAGGAGGCGCCGCGGCCTCGTAAGACGTGAGAGGCCCGCTTGGGTCGATTCCGAGGTTCCGGAGAGCAGCGGAGAGAGCGCCTAGCCAGCGCCCGCGCGCTCGGCCGGGCGGCAGTGAGCGCTGCGCCCCGCGGTGCAGATCGTCCCGGAGCGCCGGAGCCGCGGCTGAGGCGAGTAGCTGGCCAGAGGCGCGCGGAGCAGGCTGTCATGCCCTATTGATCCCCCCTCCCGCCCCCCGCCAAGTATGTTTGGGCTGGACCAATTCGAGCCCCAGATCAACAGCCGGCACGCTGGTCAGGGCGAGGGGAACTTTAACGAAGCCGGACTGAACATGAACGCCCACTTTAAGGCTCCTGCTTTCCACGCCGGGCCTCCTCCTGGCCCCGTGGACCCTGCAATAAGCGCTCTGGGCGAACCCCCGATCTTGGGTTTGAACATGGAGCCCTACGGCTTCCATGCGCGCGGCCACTCCGAGCTGCACGCAGGGGGGCTGCAGGCGCAGCCTGTGCACGGCTTCTTCGGTGGTCAGCAGCCTCACCACAGCCACCCCGGAGGGCATCACCCGCACCAGCACCACCCCCACTTTGGGGGCAACTTCGGTGGTCCGGACCCAGGTGCTTCATGTCTGCACGGGGGCCGGCTGCTTGGCTATGGAGGTGCAGCGGGCGGCCTGGGCAGCCAGCCTCCCTTCGCAGAGAGTTATGAGCACATGGCGGAGAGCCAGGGGCCGGAGGGCTTCGGCCCGCAGCGGCCAGGAAACCTCCCGGACTTCCACAGTTCGGGCACCTCGGGCCACGCTGTGCCTGCCCCGTGCCTGCCGCTAGACCAGAGCCCTAACCGGGCTGCCTCTTTCCACGGCCTGTCCGCCTCCAGCGGCTCGGATTCTCACAGCCTGGAGCCCCGGAGGGTGACGAACCAAGGAACCGTAGATTCCCTGGAATACAATTACCCGAGCGAGCCGCCCTCAGGACATTTTGACATGTTTTCACCCTCTGACTCTGAAGGGCAGCTGCCACATTATGCTGCGGGTCGCCAGGTTCCCGGGGGCGCTTTCCCGGGTGCTTCGGCCATGCCCAGAGCCTCAGGCATGGTGGGTTTGTCCAAGATGCACGGCCAGCCACCGCAGCCACCGCCTCAACAGCAACAGCCGCAGCACGGAGTGTTCTTCGAGAGGTTTGGCGGGGCCCGAAAGATGCCTGTGGGTCTGGAGCCTGCAGTGGGCTCCAGGCACCCGCTCATGCAACCTCCCCAGCAGGCCCCACCACCCCCGCAGCAGCAGCCCCCGCAGCAGCCACCGCCACCACCCGGGCTTCTGGTCCGACAGAATTCTTGCCCTCCTGCGCTCCCGCGGCCACAGCAGGGTGAGGCTGGCACACCCAGTGGAGGCCTGCAGGACGGGGGCCCCATGCTGCCCAGCCAACACGCGCAGTTCGAGTATCCCATCCATCGGCTAGAGAACCGGAGCATGCACCCATATTCTGAGCCTGTTTTCAGCATGCAGCATCCCCCTCCTCAGCAGGCGCCCAACCAGAGGCTGCAGCATTTCGATGCGCCCCCCTACATGAACGTGGCCAAGAGGCCGCGTTTTGACTTTCCCGGCAGCGCAGGCGTGGACCGCTGTGCCTCGTGGAATGGCAGCATGCATAACGGCACCCTGGACAACCAACTCTCTCCCTCTGCCTACCCAGGCCTCCCAGGCGAGTTCACACCGCCTGTGCCAGACAGCTTTCCCTCGGGACCGCCCTTGCAGCACCCGGGGCCGGACCACCAGTCCTTGCAACAGCAGCAGCAACAACAACAGCAGCAGCAACAACAACAGCAGCAGCAGCAGCAACAGCAGCAACAGCAGCAGCAGCAGCAACGCCAGAATGCGGCCCTCATGATTAAACAGATGGCGTCCCGGAACCAGCAGCAGCGGTTGCGACAGCCCAACCTGGCCCAGCTAGGCCATCCTGGGGACGTGGGCCAGAGTGGCCTGGTCCACGGAGGTTCCGTGAGCGGCTTGGCCCAGACGAACTTTGAGCGCGAAGGCGGCAGCGCAGGTGCGGGGCGCCTGGGTGGCTTTGAGCAGCAGGCGCCCCACCTGGCGCAGGAGAACGCGTGGTTCCCGGGTCCACACCCTCCCGGCGACCTGCTGCCCCGGAGGATGGGAGGCGCGGGGTTGCCGGCTGACTGTGGCCCGCACGACCCTAGTCTGGCGCCTCCCCCTGCTCCGGGTGGTTCAGGGGTGCTATTCCGAGGCTCTCTGCAGGAGCCTCTGAGGATGCCTGGGGAAGGCCACGTGCCCGCACTGGCCTCGCCCGGGCTGCAGTTTGGGGGCAGCTTGGCTGGCCTAGGCCAGTTGCAGTCGCCCGGGGCCGGTGTGGGACTGCCCAACGCTCCGTCGGAGCGACGGCCTCCGCCTCCGGACTTCCCCGCGCCAGCTCTCGGGGGCCAACCCGGCTTTCCATTCGGCTCAGGCAGCCGGCAGGCCACGCCGCACAGCGCTCCAGGCGTGAATTCGCCCCCGAGCGCGGGCGCGGGCAGCGGCAGCTCCAGTGCTGGCGGGGGCGCTTACCCGCCCCAGCCGGATTTCCAACCCAGCCAGCGCAACTCGGCCAGTAAGCTGGGCGCGCTGTCGTTGGGGTCTTTTAACAAGCCCAGCTCTAAGGACAACCTGTTCGGCCAGAGCTGCCTGGCTGCGCTCTCCACTGCTTGCCAGAACATGATCGCCAGCCTGGGTGCTCCTAACCTCAACGTGACTTTCAACAAGAAGAACCCACCCGAGGGGAAGAGAAAACTGAGCCAGAACGAGCCCGACAGCGCGGTTGCAGCCGGTAACCCGGGCTCGGATTACTTCCCTGGAGGGACTACTCCTGGGGCCCCTGGACCTGGAGGCCCTTCTGGGACCAGTGGTGGTGGCTCTAAAGCCTCAGGACAGCCCAACCCTCCCATCCAGGGGGACGGCACCAGTCTCTCCCCCAATTACACCCTGGAATCAACGTCGGGTAACGATGGCAAGCCTGTCCCTGGGGGCAGTGGCCGGGGAAGGGGACGCAGAAAACGGGACAGTGGTCACGTGAGCCCCGGGACCTTCTTTGACAAATACTCCGCAGCTCCTGACAGTGGGGGCGCACCAGGGGTGAGCCCGGGGCAGCAGCAGGCTCCTGGCTCAGCCGCTGGGGGAAGCTCAGTGAACGAGGCCCGAGGGCCCACACCCCATGAGAAAGCTCTCACGTCACCATCGTGGGGAAAGGGAGCTGAGTTGCTCCTTGGGGACCAGCCGGACCTCATGGCGTCCCTGGACAGTACAGCCAAATCAGATGGTAGTTCCCCGCACGTGAGTGAGTTCGCCTCTGAAGAGGTGAGCACAAGTTATGCGAATGAGGACGAAGTGTCCTCCAGTTCTGACAACACTACAGCCCTGGCCAAAGCCAGCCGAAGTCCCCTGGTGACCAGTTCACCCAAACTCCCGCCTCGAGGGGTGAGTGCTGGGGAACACACACCGAAGGCTTCTGCCCTGGGCCTGGGCATCCTGTCTACCTCTACCTCGACCCCTGACAGCTATGGTGGGGGCGTGGGTACCGGACATCCCGGCACACCAGGCCTGGAGCAGGTCCGGACCCCAACGAGCAGCAGCGGTGTGCCGCCTCCTGATGAGATTCATCCCCTGGAGATCCTCCAAGCCCAGATCCAGCTGCAGAGACAACAATTTAGCATCTCAGAGGACCAGCCCCTGGGGCTCAAGGGCGGCAAAAAAGCCGAGTGTGCTGTAGGGGCCTCGGGAGCACAGAATGGTGACAGCGAGTTGGGTAGCTGCTGCTCCGAAGCAGTCAAGAACGCCATGAGCACCATCGATCTGGACTCCCTGATGGCGGAACACAGCACTACCTGGTACATGCCGCCTGACAAGGCCCTGGTGGATGGTGGAGACGATGACAAGACGCTGGCGCCCTGGGAGAAGGCCAAGTCCCAGAACCCCAACAACAAAGAAGGTATATGTACCCGCCTTCCTTGTTTTCTGGTGCCAGCCCTAGCCTAGGCTGGCCTTCTTCATCTCCACTCAGACTCGGGCACTCTCTGGTTGCACCCTGTTGGGCTGTCAGGTAGAATTTGGCTTTCCTGGTGGCAAGAACTTAGATTCCCTCTTTGGAGAATCATCTAAAGTTATGCCTTCTACCTCCCGATTTTTCTGAGTTTTTCAGGGTTCAGGCCTTAGAGAAGCTGGGCCCTTCCCATTTCCCACTAAGACCCTTGCTGCTCTCAGTCCCTCTGGTTAAGTGTTTGGGGCCCCTCTCTGATAGGACACCTGGAAGGCTGCAGGGCTGCCATCCTGTCCTCTTTAGCCTTCAGCTGGAGTTGGCTCAGGTGATAATACTTTTGCAAAGTCCCCGCCCTGGTATGGGCAGTGTCACTTAGAGGCCAGGCCTCATTGGACATTTGTTTTTAGAGAACAGCTCTTTGGGCGTTTAAGTTGGAGAGTTTCACGGGAAAAGCAAAACACCTGGGGACCTGCCAGGGTTCTAGGCAAACACCACAGTCTCAGGTATATCTGCCTGACAGTGGGGGTGAAGGCTGGGCAGGGTTCTGCCTGGCAGCAACTACAGCACTCCTTTAAGACATCAGTTGTGTTTGGGGTTATGACTATTCCTAAGGCACAAAGGACCTTCGTTTGTCAATATCTCACTTGGCATTGGTGACAGATGTCCAGTCCCAGGTCTCATTTGCATTCAGAACACCCCTTCCCCTCCAGGCCTGGAGGCCTTTAAGGTGGTAGTCTAACAGCTTTTAAATCCAGAGATGAATAGGCTGCAATAGTTTAGGTTTTTATTTTAATGGGGCTTTTTTTTTCTTTACAAAAAAAAAAAACATAGCTAGTAGCTTTTAAAAATTGGTAACATTGTTTTTTTCCCTCCCATCATTACTTTGTTTCTAAATCCTAGTTAGCTTCTCCAGGTTTTGCTGGACAGAATATTACCGTGGTGCCTGTGGCCAGCTGTCTTTAAAAAATGTACCCTTGCTTACTGCTCTTCTCTTCAGTTTTATGCTCCGGGTTGAACCCTCCCACAGTCTACTGTGTCTTAAGTAAATCCTCAGAAGAGTAGGTTTTAAGAAAATATGATAGTCCCTTTTAAGGAAAAGGAAGATGGGAGTTTGGGTGATTTGGAACTCTGTCTGGGGCGTCTTCCTTCGGTTTCTGGTTCATGAGTGTGGCCTGGCTGCTTTTCTCTTTGTTCCTCCCTACTGCCCAGCCTGGGATGCCCAGACGCGCGCTCTCATTTCGGTGTTTAGCATGCACGACAGACACCAAGCCCCGCATCAGCATTCCACAGACTACTCCCAGGCAAGGCCAGAAATTGGTTAGTTTGGGACCCTTAGCTCTCCTCCACCCTCCTCTGGCTCTGAAAATGGAGTTGGACAGGGTATCCCGCCACCCCCTTATTTTCTTGTATATAACGTCTCGATCTAACACAATCGATAGTGAGTTAGCAGAGAACTCAGTCCTGTCACTTCTGGCCCAGCCTGCTACCTCCAGTAATTAAGAACGTATTGGCCAAAATGGGGTGAGAAAAGTTTTCAAAAACCCAGAGAATTAATAAAGAAAATGGGTTAGTATTTCTCCTTCCAGTCTTTGGAAGAACTTTAGTAGGTGGGGACATGTTGGAGGTTTTAATGAGTTTTTTTTTTTTTTAAATGTAGCTTCTTACCTCATTCTCAACAGGAGAGATGCAGGCTGCGAGCACTGAGATGTCGTTATAGAAATGTCTTCTAGCTTGTTTCAGTGTCCCAGGATCGTACATTTATGGAAGCATGTGGCAACTGCTTTTGGGTTGATTCTTCCTGCAAACCGGAGGAAGCCCTCCTGTGTGAGGAGTCAGAGACTTCCTTGGTGTCCAAAGGGCTAGCTGCTTCCCAAACCTGGTGGGGGGGGGGGACACCCACTGGGTCTCCTTTGTTTCCCACTCTGATGTAGGAAGGATAGAACCCTAGATAGCTCTATGAAGTGAGGTTTTTGAATGCTGTTCTTGGGCTGCAAACTGGGGCTTAATAAGGTCTCTCAGACTCTGTCTCCCTTACTGGTAGTAAATAAGGATGATTAAACTTTTCATTACAATAACACCCCACAGTTCCATCTGTACAGGTTGTATAAATAAATACTCACGGCTTTCTGTCAGCCTCTGAGAGCCCTAGCTGAAAACCAGTGAAGAGAACCACTTTGAAATAAGTCGGGGGTCGGGGGGAAAATATAAGAAAAATGGTCTTTTTCTTAAAAGTCCTGTAGCCCCATTAGCTGGAGTGGGGATACCCAGAGGCCTGATGGGCCTTTACCTTCCAGCTCAGAAAGGGCTCCCCTCCACCACCCTCTTAGGCAGAGGCCATTTCTGTAATGATATTTTATTTTGTCTCACTGTAAAACACGCCAGTACTAATGTGATTAAATATTAACTCACTTTCTGAAATTCTCTGCTCAGATGACAGAATACTTACTAGTCATTGTTTTACAAAGTGATCTGTGCTGGAGAAGTCTCGGGGACATCACAAGTGTTGAGCCGCAGGCATATGCCCTGATTGCTCTTTGGGCTGTAGATGGTGGTTGGGAGAGGAGCAAACTAGAGTAGCCCATTACAGTTCTTTAAAAGTCTAGACCAGAAGGTCATGTGGTGACGAGGCCACTGAACTTCTCTAGGTGACTCGGCCCTTACTTCTCTGCCAACGGGACAAATAACTTTCTGTAAGGAAACTCCGTGTTCATGCATGAGGCTTCTTCCTCGGAGTTGGAGTGAAGGAACAGTCAGGGTAAGCCAACCTGACTTTGAGGTGATTCAGGTCTCTGTTTTGTCAGCAAGGGTTTTAGATAGTTAGCCAGACCTCTACCTATGTGGAATATTGTAGATTTGGGGAACTTCAAGACTCAAAGGAAGGAAAACCAATAGGAGATTGGCCGTGGGTACTGACGTGGAAAAATCTGTTTTCCCTCTCTCTCTGCTCCCCATGTTTTTCAAGACAGGAATTATCCTTGCTCTATACTAAGTCTGCTCCCACTGAACTTCCCTCTTTCTGCTGACAGCTCTGTATGTCGAACCCTGTGGCCACAAGGTCTTCCACACACAGTGAGGCTGGAACTGCCTCTGTGTGCAGTTAGCACCCAAACCTTGTCCCGTCTCCCCGCCTTTGGAAGTTGCGTGTTTTGACAGAGACTCCGGAGACATTTTTGGAATTTCATGCTCCCCTGTGTTCCCCTAGGAACACAGGCAGGGCTGAGAAATAGCTAGGCAGGCGGGAATGGAACTCTAGTTTTTTGTCGGACAGAGGGTGGACTTGAGGAGGGAAGGCTTGCCCTGGCTAAGCCCTGGCTGGTGGGGGCCATTTGTCCAACCTTCGTATACTAGAGACAGAATTTCGAAGTCTCATTTGGACTTTCCCTTGGAAAGTAAGCCGACATTGAATTTCCTTTCCTCTGAAGCATTACCCAACACGGTCTGTATGCCTTCATGTGACTTCTGTGTCTTAGGAAGATGAACCCCAAGCTCCTCAGGTGCTAATCAAGGGTACTGTAAATCGATAGGGGCCCGCTTTGTGCAGCCTATGCTCCGGCTGCCCACTCCCTGGCTAGTGGAGGACATATAACTACTGTTCTTCTATGCTTGTTTAATATTTCATGGCTGTAATAAACCTGTCTTGCTTGCCCGCCTCCCGACATAAAACCCCAAGTAGCACACATCTGCAATTATACATTTCTACTAAATATTAATAAAGGACAACGGCTTTTTAAGGGGCTGAAGCTCCAAAGAGTTGAACTTGCCACAGACTCTGTTCCTGCATTTTTCTGTTTTATATATATAT